GTACGGAGGGTATCCAACTCCTCAGTGAGGGTGGTGATGTGCTCGGTTAGCCCATTGGTCAACTCCTGTAGTCTTCATGCAATATTTGCAACAGATGGATTAGGACAGGAAAGAATCTTCCAAAAGTGTTGGGTAATGGGATGTCGTCCTTTGCTGCCAACTCTTCAAATGTGCTGATGAAGGCGCCATATGGACTGCCTTCAAAATCGTCTGCTGAGTATCATGGTAAACTTATAGTGGTGCCACTGCGTGGCCATTTAAGCGAGAGGGGGCCTTGAGGCCAAAAGATAGGTGATAGCCAAACCTGTGAGGCCCCGTCAGGCTATGTAGGAGGTTGCGGAACAAGAGAAGGTGAAGACCCCATGATGGAAGTGATGAGAAGAAACTTTAACCCCAGTCGGGCCAAAGAAAGATATCGTGATGAATAAGATAATTCCCTCGCACGTAAGAAAGGGTGTCCAAATTGTATCTAATTTTATTTATACTTGCCGCGCCAAAACATGGCTTATGGTCGAGCGATCATCCTATCATACACCTACCATACGGGCAGGTGGGCCTCTGGTGGACTACAAGCGGACCGGAACTGTCCTCGAAAGCAACAGCCTGGGGCCGGGGTCCCCACGATACACCGGCGTGCTCTCCCAAATAACAACTACCATACAAAGTGCCAAAGACTCCGAGTCCCAACCGTCAAATACTCCCACAAGCGAGCAAACACAAAAGCTAAGCACAAGACCCATCACTGACCTTCGCCTCCCCCGCCCCAACCAACAAACCGACACCCAACCCAATAGGAACAGAGCGACCGAAGTCCTTGGTCCCACCAAGCGAGGGGAAGGTAGTTAAAGCCCATGACCATCACAAAAATAAAAATAAAACAAAAATATCAAATCCGGTCTTAATACCATCCCGCAAATTCCATATCCTCCTCCATAGTACAATCTCCCCCATCACTCCCACGACCCATGCCAGCCAACTCATCATCAGTAAACCTCTGAAGAGCAGCGAACGTCCCATCCAGCGTAGCCCTTGAGACAGAAGCCGAAGCCTTGCCCCACTCCCGGCCATGCCCCCTCCCCGAACGCCGTTTGCGCCGCCAACCACCAGAGGAACCAGTATCCCCGCTAGCAACATGCCTAACCCCACTCTGTACTCCCACCTTCTCCACCAGTACCCACTTCCTAGCCTGCTGCCCCAGCACCCTCAACCCGAGATAGTCAGATATACTAACTCCCTTGCTCATAGTACTGGGAGGCGAGTTCATATCTCGACGCCCTACAGGCGCCGCCAACGGGAACCAAGTCTTGTACCGCCCAGCCACATAGAGGTTCTCTCCATTAGGCCAATGACCATAAGGAAAGTGCCCAGGGAGGAGGTCCGAACCCACAGCAACATCCACCAATACTGTAACCACCGAGCCATCCGATATGACTGATCTATCAGTTACCGAACCATCATCGACAGGAGACAAAGGCAGCTCCGGTCCGGCCGGAGGAGGGGGAAGAACCGATGAACAAATCCGCGAACCAAGGTACACCAGGCACCTTGGACGCCACACTAGTAGAGCCAGCCACCACCCCGAGCTCAGCCACGAATGGCCCAGACGCCTGCATCCCCGAAGGGAAGGACGCCACCATGGGCAATCGTACCTTAGCTACCCCCTTTTCTTCAGCCACCCCCCCACTGGGAGGCGGCATCATGTCCCCTGGCCCGCTGAATGGAGGGGAGGGCGAATGCCTACCCGCAACCAGGGCCGCACGCTCCCGTTCCGATAAGTGGAGTCGACGAGACAGTACCGAGACGTGGTGGCGAAGGGGTGAGACCTCCTTCCAAAGAAGAGAAGCCTCATCCACCGACGCCGAGAGGGAAGACAAGGCCGCCGTGACCTTGCCCACCGAAAGCGAAGAACCTCGCTTAGACATCGAAGCGACCAACCGAAGATGACGAAACAACGGAAACGAAGAACCTAAAGGCAACAAACGTAAGGACAAAGCCTTACGAGGTTAATAAATGTAAGCGAAGGCAAAGATTCCTTCATGAACAAGACCTGAAGTTATCGCGAGATAAAGTCAGGGACGACGTGTAGTTTAGATGGATCCTTGGAACATAAGAAAGAGTGTCCAAAGGATATTACCAGATTGCATAAAGAAAGTAAAATATAAAGGGGCACACCTCTTTATATATTAAGGAAATCCTCCATGATCACTAACACAAACGAAAGTTCTTGGCATCACGCACAGCCGCAATCCTTCCATCAGGTTCTGCCATCTTCCGTTGCGCGACAACGCATTCCAATCTCCTATACAAAGGAAATCCAACTATGCAACAAAGCAAACCACAACCAATATATGTAACCAAAATTACATGCATATTCCGTCTCCATAGCCAGGTGGCCGTGACATCAAAACTCAATACTATAGTTACTATCATGGCTTTTATCATCCAGTACCACTAAACTCCCCCAACTCCCTCCATCTAGCCTTAGCTATAGGAGGTGGGCTTACTTTCCCTCTCCCTTGAGGTCTTGATTTATTTCATAACTCTCCTAGTTCTCTCCCTGAATTGTGTCCTTTATCCTTACGATGCTTCTCCCCTTTCTTCTCCACCTTACTTAGGCATCAGCATTGTTGGCAACCACTATTTTCTACTTACGAAAAATGGCCAGGACTACAGTTTATAGTAGGAGAAAACAGCTTACAGGCTATAGTTGATCTCTCTGTTCTCTTGTTTCCCTGGGAGGCTGCCTAGTCAGATATGAATACAATTACCAATAGTTGGTAAGTACAGGATTGGATCTCCTCCTTTACTCCTCTACTTCTCTTTTCTACAGTCAGATTGGCTAGCATCCTACTACCACTCCCTCTCAAGCTAGTATCTTATTGCCTTACTCATTATTTGTCTTGGAGTATACACGGTTGCTGGCATATCTGCTACATACTTCCTCCTCTCTCTTCTTGGTTACCTCCTTCAGAATAGTTTTCCTTATACTCTTAGTGGTCGGGGCTTTAGCCCCTATCCTATGGACCCTCAATTTAGTCTGGAATTCTGAGGTGTGGTACTCTTTTGTCCTTGATTGGGTTTAGTTTAAGTTTCTGCCTTTAGGTGTTTTGTTCCCAGGGTTGAGTGAGTTCTTGGTTCACTATCAAGTAGTTGGCTTTCATTTGTCACTTGGCAGTAGAGATTCTTAGATGGTTCTGCAGTTGACAGGAAGGATTTTGTGTAGGAGTAGTTTTTTATACTCCAAAAAGTTCTTTTAGCTCTGTCATTCAGCTTGGACTGAGACAGAATATTTTTTTTAGTGTCATAGCTAGCACTTTATATGCCTTTTTGTACTGTTAAATAAATAATCCAAATGAGTCAAACAAAAAAAAACAAAAAATAAAAACTTTAGCTTTCAGAATCATTAGTGAACAGTAAAGAAATCTTATCAATATATTTATTATACTTTAATACCTACTTTTACTATGAGCTTTCTTGACCATTCTCTGAGAAATCTTACTAGCCTTAATTATAATTTGCTTGACCTTAGAATTGACTACCACCTAATACTAATACAATCAACCTCCTGCTTCCAAAGGCCTTAATTTGATGCAACTTTTAACTTAACAATATTTAGTACTACTATTTACTTTATCCTTTATATTGTATAAGCTTTAAATCAATAACTTCAAAGTTTTTCAGTGTAGATACACCCTGGGATCAATCTTCCTATGAGTGCCTCAATTATATAAATAGAGTCAGCCAAAAGAAATAAAAGAAATAAAAGAAATAAAAGACATGAAAAGAAAATCTTTAAATATGAAATGAAAGAAATCAACCACAATCCCGTATCCTAAAAAAATACTTAAACCAATTCAACCCATGGAATCGGTGTCTATTTCTACAAACCTGATCCACCTCCAACATAAGTTTTCACCATTCAAACCTAATGGGAATACCTGTTTAAGATGTCTAGCTACACCCAGTTGCACGGTTGAACGTTCCAGATACCCTTAGACTGTCTTATGATCGCTCTATGATCGTTCTAATTACCACTTCGGATGGGTTCCCCTTTGCCAGGCAAATACCCCTGTTTATCACCTGCCCAGTTTCATTGCGGATACAATTAAGACAGGATCGTCTAGGTATGGTGAGGAACCTCCGTAGCCGGAGCAGGTGAACCTTCAGCCTTGATTAGTAATCGTGTGTCAATATGCCATTTAGTCCCTGGACAGGTGAGCTTCATTCCCCCATCGCCGATATCGGTAATCCAGAGTGGCCGGGATGAGAAGCTTAATGAAGGGTATGATGGGTTCCGGGCCGGTGCGGTAGTGATGAGGGGGTGCAATACCGTAGATTACCGAAAAGGCGAAAGGATGGTCTAAGGCGACCACTTTGGGGCACTTTGAAGCTCCCTCCACTCACGAATGGAACGACGGATCATAGGATAATCCCAGGTAGTTTTGATAATGCCACGGGAGCGATATGACAGGCGAAACAAAGTGCCCTCCTCGATCTTTCCGTAATACTGGCACCAATACAAGTATCATATTTGCCAGGCCAATTAAAGATTATAGTGAGTTAAGGCAGGCGCTAGTAAAAGATGGTTGGAGGTCGATCATTGTCCTGCGTGGCTTGTCCACCTTTATCCGGAAGTTGGTGTGACTATCAACGGCTTCTAACCCTGGAATAATCCGGCATCGCTGGGAAGCTTCTAGAGTGACGACACTGACGTAAAGAGATGCCATTGGCCGAGGCAACTTTCCATTTGTGGGGGGGGTGTGAGGCTTCTCCAGCCAAATCCGAGAGCCAGAATTTGACCGAAGAGAGGGTCCCGGCAAGCTCGAGAAGGGCGTTACAATTACCATGATGATCGCCTCCAAAATCTCTCACCCTCAACATCACCCTAGAATTCCTCACAGTTCATCAAGGCTCGCCGCCTTCCCCTCCACCCACCCACCCTTTCCCTGGCCGCCATACGAGTACATAAACACAGCCTGCATTGGGTGCACCAATCACGCACCCACCTTTGAGTCGTTTTCACCACAGCACCCTATTCTCACGGCCTACCGCACCCAGAACCCGACAGGCAGAGTATCCGCGGTCCAACCGCACAACTCATCACCGCACTTACCGCATCCCCATCCTCTCACTGTTCTCTCCCTCTCCCCACTCCTACACGAGACTCCCATCAACCACCACGCAACCGCCCACCACCTCTCCAGCCACAATCATCTCTTCCCCCCCCCTCTCCATAGAAATTCTCAAGTTCGTCCACCACTCATCCCTTAATCACTCCCACCTTCTCTACTCACCCCCCCCCCCCCATCCCTAGCTTTAATCTAACACCTTGCCCTAAGGTCATATCTCACATACCGGTATCAGGCTTCCGTCAAACGACTGGGCTGCACACGATTTCCGCTCCACCAGTGGGTACGATTCTTGACATCATCCTTTTGGTCCCTGTTCCACGTTACCCTCAAATAAATTTTCATTGCTTATAACCTTGCGCATAAACTCCTCTTCCTCTTCTTTCCTTTCTCTCCTCTTCTCCACTTCTCCTATATACTCTCACTCTCGTCTAAACAACCTTCTACAACAAACTCGAACACTTTAATATCTAAACTTCGCCACACAAACTCGCCATGGTCAAAGAAACGAAGCTTTACGATACCTTAAGTATCAAACCTAACGCCACACCGGAAGAAATCAAAAAGGCCTATCGGTGAGTTTGTTCTCCCATAATCAGCTAATCTCTCGGCTCCCTGCTGCTGTTTTCCTACCTGGGCCGGAACTAACCTAGCTTTGAAGGAAAGGCGCATTGCAGTACCACCCGGACAAGAACAAAGATAGCAAGGTTGCTGCAGACAAGTTCAAAGGTAAAATTGAATACTTGATTAATATTCGCTCCATACAAACGTTTCATCGCACGGTTCCTAACCTTACGGTGCAGAAATCTCCCAGGCCTATGAAGTTCTATCAGATCCGGAGAAACGCAAGATATATGATCAGTTTGGCTTAGAATATCTGTTGCGCGGGGGCCCTTCGTCGCCACCCCCGCAATCACAATCTCATCCTTCATTCGCGAGGTCCGAAACATTCCCCGGAGGAAGCTTCCCTGGAATGGGCGGAATGGGCGGAATGGGCGGAATGGGCGGAATGGGCGGAATGGGTGGAGGTGGGCGGGCATATCCCTCCTATGGAGGTCACTTTCACCAGTTCAGTAATCCCGAAAACATCTGGAAGAAGTTTGCTCAAATGGAGGGCGGAGTTGATGGCTTCGATTTCGACTTTCTTGGAAATATCGGAACAAGTAGTCCGCTTGGAGGCGGCCGACCCAGTAGTTTCCCTGGAACCAGGTTTGGCGCAAGCCCTCGTGAGCCCAACGGAAGGAGCAAGACTCCTGAATCAACTGTATCTGAACGGCCTGTGAGCCTTACTCTTGAAGAGTATGTTAGCCCCTTTTGTTTCTCCAGTAGTCTGTTATTTTGCCATATTTGCTAACGAGGTGTTCGTGTAGGCTTTTCTACGGCACAGAAAAGAAGTTCCGTGTCAAGAGGAAAACCTTCGATAAGGATGGCAGGATTTCCCGGGAAGACAAGGAACTGAAGATCCCGGTTAAGCCAGGCATGAAAGCTGGCTCAAAGTTCAAGTTCAAGGGTGTCGGTGATGAGATTGATGGAAGCAAACAGGATCTACATTTTATTATAGAAGAGGTATGCCTATACACAAAATTTCTTAATTCTCATAACATGAATCCGTTCCAATATTAGTTTTACTAGAAACCGCACGAGTCCTTCACCCGAGATGGCGATGACCTCATCACGACACTTTCTATTCCCTTGAAGGATGCTCTACTAGGATGGTCTCGACAAATCAAAACAATCGAGGGGAAGCAATTAAAGGTTTCTCACGCAGGTCCAACGCCACCTACATGGCTGGAAAGCTTCCCTGGCCAGGGTATGGTGCTTTCAAAGTCACCGAGCGAACGCGGCAATTTGTTGGTCAAGGTCAATGTGAGTAAAAATAAACAGGCAACCGTCCCCATAGTAAAAATGTTAAACTCTTGTTTGCAGATTGTCTTCCCTTCATCCTTAACACCTGAGCAAAAAAATCAACTCAAGGTTGCTCTACCCTAAAGCGTACAGGTTGTATTATCCCCTAGGAGCTCTACTTCATACCATGTTCAGTAGTCCTCTATTATTATTCGGCTGTGACATCTTCCCTTCCACCTCGTCCTTTCGCTTTTTTCCTGGGTCTGACAGTTGGGCGCATGAGAGGGTTTTCATAACAAGTGTTGAATTTATGGATTGACGATACGACACGATCATCTTCGCTTTTACCTGAAAAAAAAAAAGAGGTTCGATAGCCAGTTTCACAGAACCTGGTCTCTTGTATAATTGTATAAAGTTTTTGTCGGCTGGGGTTCCTTCGCATGTTTTTCTCACAATTCAATAAAGGTTATCGATTCCCGCATACCCGAAACCTGCTGCGCCAATGACGAAGGGTGCTGTAGCATGCACTGTGCTATAGCAAATGGAAGATTGCGGCAAAGTGACACTGATAGCTATTATAATATTATTGCAACCACGACTTTTGGTCATCGCTTCGTCCTAGCCTTTAACTTGCGTCCGAGTAGTTTCCTCGAGTACGGCACCGGTGTCGTGCCCCACGGAGCAGGTTTCAGTGCTAGTAGAATAATTTGATAAGGTATCATAATATATTAACACACACTCCATCCCTAAAGTTCTTGCGGCCCCGTAGATATGATACCTGGTCGACACCGACCCTAGATGGTGGACCCGGGACAAACCTCCCTCGAGGAATCCCGTTTTAACCTGGAAACAGCGATCTTCTGCAAGGACATTCCCGACTCTTCCCCAGTTAGCAATTTCTGGGGTCTTGAGCACGCCCGTTCCCTACTCTCTCATCCAATGCTCACAATGCCGGTATCAGGATTGGGATTCGTGGATGCCATCCAATAGGACGACTCCGTGGACCCAGTGCCCTCCCTCGAATTTGGTGGTATAATACAAGCACTGGACACAAGGAGTTTCCCATATACCGAAGCGATTACCGGTATTTTGATGCACCTCTTCAAGGGGACGCTCTTCGGATGCTGCGGGACGCGGCCTAACAGTGCCGGGTTTCTTTATTTTGCCTTATCCCGACTCACCCCCGTCTGTGACGAGATCCGTTCTCGAGCCCCACCGCTACGCTGCCAGCGAGGCGGGCGAGGTGGGCGTTCGTTGGATTACTAACAGTATTTACTACAAGACCATGGGGGAAGGGGGTCCCGCAACGATTTCGGTTTGCCACCACCCCCCACCCCATCAGCAAGCCTCGTTACCCGGCCCAAGGGGGGTAACGTCATAGCAACTCTTCCCATTTTCATTCGGACTTTGACAACTCAGACTAAAGTCTGGCATAGTCTACCTTCCTTTTTCTCCCGCAAGCTGAATCAAAACGGCTCCCCACCACGTCCTTTCGAATCAATCCAACAATGGAGGCCCCGGTGAACCAACCCGTGTCGGATACGTCCCAGGAGATTCCAACACAAGAGCCCGACTCCCAAACAGTTGAGCAATGCATCAACTATCTCAGTCGCAGGGATGACACTAGCCGATTCGTCGGTCTAGCAATGTTGTCCTCACTCCTAACTCATATCCAAGATATCAATGTTCTCACCCGGTGCTGGAAGTCATTGAGTCCCCGGTTCCTAGACCGGCTGTTGAAGTCTGGTTGGTACCGCTCCGGTCTGCACTTGGCTTTGAGAGATGTTAACAAGTGGTCGCTAAGGTGGGACGGCGTGGAACAGGCAACACTAGCCAGAAATCTCCAGAGGAAGCGAGGGATATGGTTGAGTTAGCGGTTCACATACTACACGCCTTTTCTACGCTACTGCCCGATTCTGCAGAGGAGGTATCATTGGTTGGGAGAGCGCCCTTGCTAGCCGAGATACTGCCCAGATGGTAGGTTCCCATGAAGCGGTGAGATTATCTGCAGGTGGTGTGCCGCGAGGTTGATGCAAGGTGATGGTGGTGGCTGACTACGGCTACGGCGGCGATAGTTCGACAATCACCCAAGCGACGATATTGCAGACCCTATTGGTGTTTTCCACGGGGAGGAAGGGATCGGGGGTTATCCTTAGGATAAAGGATTTATCACCGTTGATAAAGTGCTCAGCCGAGCATGAGGCAGCAATGCAAATCCTACAATATTCATTTGTTAACTCGATCTCCGAACCGCTACTGCTAACGGACGGATTGAAGAGGTTTCTGCCATCGATATGTGAAGATATGCTGGCAATGGATAAAGCTCCCCGGTCAAGAATCCTTTCATTCCTAAGTGACTTACTAGCCAGATTTCCGCCCGAGGTGAGACGAACATACACGCCCTGATCTGCACATTCTAACCCTCACCTTATAGCTCCTCCCATCAGACACCAACTGGGTAAAATCCGCATATGCAGCCATCAGGGTCGTGATAACTTCGGGCCACAATTCGCACGAGCGATCACACTGCACCAAAATAGTAGCTAGCCTTCTACACAAATACCCGCCGTCCCTCCTCTTCGGGCCCAAGGCATTGGGGAAAGCGCCGGTCAACGAAGAAAAGCCGTTTGTGTACTTTTTCATACAGCTGGTTCTCATTGATCTTCGTGCTACGTTTCCAGCACTACTTGAACAGCTCGCTGCTCCTTCATACGAGAGCACTGCCCACAGATTGGCTTCCGATTTTGATGTGCTGGCGGCATTCCTGGGGTATTTGCTGACGGTCGAGGACTTTGATGATATACCCATTACGCCGGATTTGCTGCTAAAGCTGAAGGCCGATATCGGGGAGACCTTCGGACTTACACTAGAGTTCCTGCGGGATCGTTGGGACGCCGGGTACGCTGGCGCTGCTGGCTTCGAGCCCGGCTTTGAAAAAGACGTCCCATTGAGTGTAACCTGGGAGACCAAGCTCGAAGGCGGAATTGCCCGCGACCCATTGGTGATCGCAGCCGCCAGGGCGCTGTCCCTCTGGCTCAAAGAAGATGAAAGCCTAAGAGAAGAATCTGGAGGCCTAACAGACTTCTTCTTGGGCTTATGGAAAAAGGGAAAAGAGGACGGCGTGGACCACAGATTCTGGATCCTATCCAGCCTCGAAGGGACGGTAGAAGAGGACAATGGCCGCGAGCAGTTTCTGCAGTATCAGGGCATCGACCTACTCTGGGCTGACCTTAAGACAATATGCGTAGACAGAAACGCCGGAGCGGATGACCTCCAAATAGCATTCGACGAAGCGAGGGTCCTAACACAGGTAGTAATACTAGGAGATAAGGCCAACGAGGCATGGGTCAAGGAAGTCCTTGCGGCAGTCAATATCAGAGGGGACTCGGGCATGCGTCTAGAGCTTGATGCTGCAATGGCCCGCCTAGCCAGCGCGTGCTTGGTAAAGACGTCCAAGGCGGTAAGGAGACGATTGAAGGACGATGTGCAGAAGGTCAAGGAAGTCTGCGGGAGGCTGTTCGCCATGGCGAGTGGGAGGATGGAAGATGGCGGGGTGATCGCGGAGTTGGTAGGGGAGGCGGTGGAGGAGTTGGATGGGATGTGATGCACAGTGTGCCATTAACAGTATAATACTATGGTCTTTCTATGATCCGTTAATGTTGCCGTGGAGTATCCCAGCAGTGGGGTGGGGTGGAGTGATATATATACACTGTGAACAAGAGTTTGGATTCACAAGTTGTGCCTTGCCGTCGGGTGCCGACTTGTAGGAAACATTCCTAGCGGAAGAAATGGGTCCTACATAATATTATTATGATATATATTCCAAGTATGGAGAGGCACCACAATTATAAGTTAGCTGTTGCACGCAATGCTAGAACCAACTCCCCCGCATGGTTATGCAGTGCGCAAGTATCACGCAGCGGCAGTATAGAGCATTCCGACTCAGATGACCCCATCAATATACAGTACAAGCACAATGGCGGCACCAGCGATGTTGCTTGACCATATAGCACGGCTGCTATAATATATATACATATACCCTACTGTGATGCCGTATGGTATGATGCCGACAGGAAAAGACAAAGATGACACCCCAACCGTCCGCCCTCACCAACCCCCAACCGCAGAGCCCAGCAGTAGATTCAAGGAGCGAGCGGTATCCCACGACTCCGCACCACTGGGAACCGAAGAAAAGGAAAGCGGGAAAAATGGGAGGTGGAACAGGTTCACATACTCGGGTATACGATACAAGGTGCTCTAAGCGCGGTGCACCGGAGATCACTCGACCTCTTGTTATTGAGACGCCCATCACAATAGTTAGGGCAGTCTACAATTGCGGGGTAGCGCGCATTTCACTTAACATGGGAAATTCGAGCCATCACAGCCCGGCTGCTGTTCTTGGTTCCGGAACTGGTTTCTGCAATTCTGATACAGATTCTCAACTTATGTCTGTGTTTACCAGCTCGAAAAAATAGAAGAAAAAAAGAAAAAAAGACTTGGGACAAGTGTTCAGGGGTTTTCGCCGTCCATCAGGGAATACTAGCAAAATCCAGGAATCATCTATCCATCGGCTCGGTCGAAAGGCCAGCGCGATATCAAGACCTCTGGGCCGGTCGAATGAAAGGGCGCCGCTCCAGGATACTGTATGTACTTTCCCAAACGGGAAGTGAGCTAGTCGCCGGCCGCCACGCGGACAGCGCGGCCATCTCTTCTCGCCGGCCGGGAAAATGTTCTTGTGGAGATTGCAATAAGAGCCGTAAGGCTGCGATATACAGTAAGCCGGATTGGACATGTGCGCATGTGCGAGTATGATACTGTACGAGTACTGTACGGTACTCGAAGTAGAGCTTTTGTATTCCCCATTTCTTTTCGCGGCGTACAGTACCGGCACCGGCATTGCGACCTACGGTAGGAACCGAACTTATTATAATATCCTACAGTACTTGTTACCTTCCTTCACCCACGCTTCGAGCACTGGTAGTGTAGACCAAAAGGCACTTACTCGAGTAGGCTATGAGCGACCGACGCTTTTGCTACAAGTACTGGCTCGGATCGTTCATCGGAACGGTAGTACCGTACTCGTGCTTCTCAGCCAAGATTTGGCATGCCAATTTCCCTAGTGGTTGGCACAAATTCTTCTCTACTGAAGGGGCATAGCCTACCAGTAATGTGAAGTGAGTATGGGAATCTAACTCTTCAGAGCATAACAGCACATGCTGTGATCTGGATACCTGTGAACTTCAGTGAATTTGTGGCAACTCCATTCACCAACTATTCCCTCCAAGGGTTGGGCCTCTGCGCTTGTTCCACACTACTAAGAAACTATTCCCCTTTGGTGGAAAAGAGCTGGTGTCCCGAGCTAGGACAGATGAGGTGCCAAATCTTGGCTGAGAATCACGAGTAGTACTGTACAATGCTTCGGACTTTTTACTGTAACAAGTTGGGACTGATGGGTGAGCTCCACAAGTAGAGGTACTAGTCGCCCACTATTGTTCCTTCCGGCAAGTGCTTCAACAGGATGCTTCTCGCCGAACACTAACCTAGCGCACCCACGGACTCTCGCGTGAGGGGGGATCCAGCCAAAACCCTAATGCAGACTACCCCGAACCTTGAAGAGCGAGTATCATATGATACTACTGCACGAGTACGAGTAGCTTAGTGCCCCGTCGAATTCTAACCAGCGCAAAGGGTTAGATACTCGTGACCTCCAACTTGAAGGTCGGAAGGAACGGTCGAACCGGACTACCGCAAGTCGTGAATATCATAGCACTCGTACAGTACTCGTATCGTACTCGCTATTATTGTAATCCCTTACAGTACTCAGTACAGTACTCGGGTATGATAATATTATACCAATTTCCGGGCAACCTAGTGGCCCTCGGCCGCATGTACTAGTAGTACTCGTCCAGTATCACACACCTGCAGTCCATAACCTCCCCCCTTTCAAACCCCACCTTACTCACAGCCAAACTTACCTCTATTTTATTTTATTTTTTTATTTTCTATTTTGATAATTACGGACAACCCAGCCGTGATCGCCCCCTTACACACGAAGAGGCTTTTTTTGTCGTGAGCTATGATGGTCTCCACGAGCTCTCTTCCATGGGGGTGTATCCGGTACAACAATGTGCTCGAGTACTCGAGTACTACTAGTGAACGTTCCATGGTTGGGAAAGATTCTCTCACTCGGCAAAAGTGGCGGCAGGCCACCCTCAGCTGGGTGTCCTACCGAACGAGTACTGTATCATAGAAACCAGCCCATCCCAGCCAGCAAGCAAGCAAGCAGGCAAAATAATTATATCATAACTGCTAAGATATGACAGTTCGTAACAGCCCAGTATTCTAGACACCTACGATTCGCACGGCACCGGATTGCACAGTATCCCTCATATCGCCACCGTCAACCTCCAGGGTTGTCCATAATATACTGGTAACCCAAGTGCAAGTCGATAGAGCCCACCGTATATAGCACCTTCAATAATCGACTACGGTAGTGGCGGCAAGTGGTGTTTATTGGCCCCCCTATCATCTGGAGCTCGAGCGCACAATAACTCATACTGTACTGTACTGTACGAGTACCCTCGTACTCGCACAACATCGGGACGCCGCGCAAGGGGACCGAGAGAGAGAGAGAGAAAGGGAGAGATCATTCCCTTGCGTTCTTATAGTTGCTTGCGTAACTTAACAACACTCACTATACATACGGTACTACTCGTTATACTCGGATATTATACACTTTTTCCATGGTTTGGGGGGGGGCGTTTGCAAAACACCAAAACTTGGAAGGGGGGGAGGGGGGAGGAGGGAGGGCTTTCCCGTTTCGTTTTTGTTTTTTTTTGTTTTTTTTTTGCCCTCTTTCTACCCGAGTTTTCCGATTTGGAAATCATTGATGAAACATCTATAGATTGAGTGATCTTTCCACTGGAGACTGTGGATCAATACCGGTGAGCCGTGACCCTCCACTCCAGCATTGCTCCCCTCTCCCTGGTTTTCTTCCCCTTCTGTCATTATGATGCTGGGATTTTGTGGTCGTTATGGTACGAGCAGGGAGTCTTTGACCCCAATATATATCATAATCAAAAGAAAAAAGTGTAAACCTCCTTCAACCTCGAAAAACCCCTATGACAGAGTTTTGGCACGTCGACAATACTAGTACAAACAACATCGGACACAATTATTATTATTATTTCTCAACACGGCTGAACAGCTAAACAAGTTCCTCACTAATCAGACCCAAGCTAACCATCGAAACACCCCCCCTCCATCGTACGCTCCCAGGAAGAGAAATGCGCAAGTAGATAAGCAACTGCATTCCCACCGGTAATATATTTTCTCAAGACCTTCATCTATACTCGAGTAAGCCAAATTCTTCAGTATCAGACAACCAGATGACAGGCAAACCAGGTGGGGAAAAGTAATAATAATAATAATAATAATATCAATAAACTTGCAAATTCTAGCTACAGTAATACCAATGAACTTTTGCCCACGGATGGGATAGCACGGCAAACAGTTCAGGATTACCCCGTGTTAGAATGGCCAGAGGGAGAAAGTCAGTCAGCACTGCAAGTGTTTACTTAAGGGGGGAAGGGGATCATCGGTGGTCGCTCACACTGCTTTGAGGTCCTTGTCTAATCCCTTTGCAAATTTATATAATATACTCATGCCCTTAGGTTGCAGACTCACGTCTCCATACCGTACTGTAGGCCCACTTCTTCAAACTCGTAGACCCTCCGTCGAAGCCTAGGATGTCGGGGACTCTCCCAAATTGTGTACACCAGAACGACATGCGAACAGGAAATGTGGTTCATGGGCCCCGGCAGCAATATCGAAGGCTAACTGTCCGTTGTTCGTAGCAGCCATAGTTAACCACTAGCATACCGGTAGTATCACAACAGGAGGGGGGGGGGGGGGGCACACGGCCAACAGCCCCACCAAATCTAATGCCTGCCGCCATGTTTTTGGTGGTACCGGTATTCTGTCTCCTCGCCCAGACTGTGGGGGAAAACCCCTTGGACACACCCCTCTGGCAGTCCGAGACAACCAGCTGTCTTGGGCTAAATTTACAGATTTTGGGCTCATTGTTCCGGTGCGGTAGGTTGACACCCCAGAAACCACTACTCGAGTAATTGCCGGCGGAACACAATACTAGGCCAGTACAGCACAGCCATGCCGGGGGGTTATGTCGAGAACCTGGGTGCGCAGATGGACTACGGCATGTTTGGGTTCTATAGTATGGACATCTCGCCGAGTTAACCCACGGGCTCTCTTTCCCATTATTATATAGGTCCCCGACATAACTTTACCGTATCCGCCGAAGGGATATGTCCCCTCCCCCACCCGACACGATCTTACTGATACTCGGGTATGATATAGTACAGTACTTGAATGTCCCCGGACCAAGATTAGCATGCATGATCGCGAGATGTAAAGCTTTACCGGTAGACAGCCCAAGGCATGGCTATCGTAGTTTGTCACCTCGCACCTCGCACCTCGCACCTCCTTCCCGACAAGATGGCTGGCCCTGCTCGTCCAAGGGGAAAAAAAGCCATTGGCCGATGAGTGAACGAGAGTTCTGAGACATATGCTTTATCTAGTCTAACTTTAAACCCCCTCTTCTTCTTCCATCATAGTCTCCCCCGATATCCAACCCACCGGAAAGCATCCCCAACCGTAAGCCCCGGCCTACCCACCACGGTACCATACCCCGCCCATTCGCACCCACCCTAAGAATTAAAAACCCTTGAATAAAGTAATTCGTGCCTTCCCTGATACAAATCCAACGTCGGAACCGATTGCCCTGCATCCTCCACAGCGATCCCCTTCGCAACCGTCAAGCCAGTATCCATGATGGCACGCGTACCCTCCGCAGCGAGCAGCGCCTGCATATGGTAAGGCCCTATAAGGCTCTGACGAACAGCGGCGGACAACACGGCCTTGACATGGCCCAGCAGAAACAGGTAACCAGTCCCCTCCAGACTTATACCAGCGAGGTTACATAGAACGCCGTAGACGATGGGGAAGTGGCCGCTCGCTCTACCCCGCACGCTCTCCATGCGGAGGGCTCGGCGGTAGGCCTCCAGCTCTGGCGATGGGGGTAGGGATGAAGAGAAGGACTTCTCGTGCACCGTGAGCAAGGCCCGGCCTTGACTTACGCTTGCGCGCCGGGCCACGGTGCAGATTGTCGAGGCATCGAAGATGTCGTCCAGGGCTAGCGCTGCCTTTGGTTCCCTGTGCGCTTCCAGGACGAAGGGGAGTGCGGTGTGGGATAGTGAGTCCACAGAGAGTTTCAGGAAACGTTCCGTGCTCTCTCTGGGCGTGGAGGTTGATGGGCGGTGGGCAGTGTAGGATTCCAGGCCACTGGAAAAGGCGAAGGAGCCGAGGGGAAGGGCCGAATCGGCGAGTAACAGGAGAAAGTGAGTCTCCGGGGTTGCCACTGTTGTGCAAGCTTCTTTTTTTTCTTTGTGGGAGGATTGTTAGATTATTATCCTTTCGTGTCGAGGCTTACTGCAGTGATGGATGGATGGATGGATGGGTGGATGGATGGAGAGGGACTGTGGTTTACCGAGGGATCGAATTTCTGTTTTCGAGGGTAGTTTGGCTCTCGCTGCCAGAAGCCGGGATTCCAACCCTGCGATCTCTTCTCGAAGAGCTCTACTCGTATTATCATCTGCAGCTTCCCCCATTGCGCGAAGTTGTGGATTGAGGGTTGTGGTTGGCAGGTGGCTGGTTGCGCATGAGCCGGGACACTCCTCCCGACGGCACACCAGCCATCATACTCGAGTACAGCATCATATGATACGATACCATACCGTACGTACTCGAGTACTCGTACAGCATGCTGCGGAATACTCGTGCTCTACTGGTACAGGTGCTCAAACCTCCTCCACAACGCATCAAGTATCACTCGGAATCAAGCCAAACCTGTCCCTGTATCATACAAGCACTGGGCCAAACTTGTGGAGACCAGGATCAAGGAAATAAAAATTGGTGTACTCGAGTACGGTATCACCATTCACCCACTCACTCACTCACTCACTCACTCGCGGAATTGAGAAAAGACAAGAGAACCAATGATTGTACGAGTACCAGCACGGGTACACTTCCCGAACAGAGTGTTCAACCGTATATTTGCTTTTTCTCCACATCCGAATCCGGCTTCCGAATCCGGCACTTGGATTCTGGAAATACTGTATGTTTTTTTTTTCCTTTCTCCTACCCTCATGTCGTACGGCTCTCGAGCAACGTACCGTACTAGTATCTCAGTACTCGAGTACCCGAGTACTCGTACCGGTATCCGTACCCACCGCCGTCAAGTTTCATGTGCCGAAGTAGTCGTTATCACTGCCAGGGTATGATATGGTGCGGTATTGGTTACAAGTACCGTATGATACTGTACTATATCATTGTAACCGGTACCGGTATTGCACTCACTCACCGCACCCGTGGTTCGTGAGTTACTGTAGTTGTTTGGGTTCACAGTATTGTGGCTGCCGGATGTGATCATGATGGCTATTCGCTCTTTCTCTTTAATCATTGCTATTCGCGAAACTCTTCTAACAAAAAAAGGAAAAAGGAAAAAGAATCGCATATCGAGGATATCTCAAAGGATGCCGCAAAGAAAACAAGAGCCCCCCTTTTTGGTGCCCCAGGGATCATCAAGACTGCTCCAGGCCCCACCCTTCTGAGGGAACCAACCGATTGACATCCTATCACCGCCAGCCGCTCGAGAGCACTTGAGACGTGCGTTTCCTTCCTTCCCTGCGGCCCCCATTTCTCATGAGGGTTTTCGCAAATAGCAATACGGTATGGTGCTTGCACCATCGGCACAGTACGATAGGGTACCGGTACTTGTGCAACCAGCAAGATCAACCAGCACCCCCCCATCGGATTACCGGTATTCGGGTACCAGTGTCAGTGCCGGTGGTGGGCTGCATCAATACCGTACTCGTACACTTGTAGTCGTTATAGAACACTGGAAGGTATAAATTTACGGTCGTCCGAGCAACCGACCCGAAGGGGGGGGGGGGGGGAAAGGACTCGGTAAATCAACGGGAGCAGGCAGGTACAAGTAATAAGTCCATGGATTCATTTGGGTGCTCGACTGGTCGAGTGCCGGCAGGGTGCGATAAGGGAGGGCGGCTTTTAGACAGCCGTCACGAGTAAAGGGGCACCCTCACCATCCGATTTCGCGGATTGGGGCGACGAGACCTAACCGTACTACGGCGGGTCAAACGTACAGGTAGGGCAGTTGGGACTTTTCACTACGCAACAACGAGCTACACCCCATGAAAAAGGCTCGGTTAGAATAATAAATAAATAAATAAATAAATAAATAAATAAATAAATAAATAAATAAATAAATAAATAAATAAATAAATAAATAAATAAATAAATAAATAAATAAATAAATAAATAAATAAATAAATAAATAAATAAATAAATAAATAAATAAATAAATAAATAAATAAATAAATAAATAAATAAATAAATGAATAAATGAATAAATAAATCATCATAGG